GAAGATCCCCTGCCTGGGATGGCACCAGCCTTCCTGCAGTGCCCGTTCCTTCCCTCTGCTCCTGTGGGAGGAAAACTGCCTTGCCAGGTAAGGCAGCAGAGTAACAGCTAAAAAAACCAAACAAACAAACAAAAAAAACCAAGCAAAACAAACAAAAAAAAAACAAAACACAGTTAGGGGGGAGAAAAAAGCCCCAAACTGTTGCAGAGCGGAGACAAGATTCAGAATCAGCAAAAGGCAGCCTGAGAGCAAGGCTCTCCCATTAATTCACATGATCGTTCAACAGGACAACTTGCCCTTTAAACTTCTGCAAGTCAGTGTCTTACAAAGACTGAACCTTTAAGGACATTCTGGGTTTTTATTTTATTTTGTTTTGTTTTTTAAGTAAGCTGCTGAGATTTCCTGTGCACCAGCACACTCTACATGCACTGAGTAAGCAGAAACATGCTTGTTCTTGGTCACTCTGAAAAGCTACTGCGATACATAGCGCTTGTAGCGGTACTTTGATTCCTTAAATTGCTGGAAGCAATTGACAAATTGACATTAGTGACTTAAATCTAGGAACTAGTAGCTTCATCTGAAAGCAGCCCAGGTTGGAAGCTCTTAAATGCTCCACAGAAGAGGTATAAGAAAAGCCTGATATTATTTTCATCTATTCTACAGGCATCTGCCAATCAAAAGATTATGGCCACTTGTTTAAACCAAATATTTTGTCTGCAGAGAATCACTTTATTACAGGGACATGTTCCTAAGTGTGTCAGTCACAGAATCCTTTCCACAGTGGTCTTTTGGTAAGAGGAATGGACACAGAGTACTGGACAGCCTGTGATCATCCTCAGTGGGTACCAGCCTCGGCAAAGGCAAGCTACTCAATTAAAAACTGCTTTCACATGCGCAGAGAACCTGATCCAGCTGAAGTCAGGTCAGTCTGTACCCACCTTCAGTGAAAATCCTCCCTGCACAGAGTGCCTCAGGCAGCTGCCCTAGGACTAACCCATGGTGGCTGTAAAAGGTCTTTGCTTCCCACTGATGTGCCAGTTTGACCCACCAAATGTATAGGTTAATATATGCAGGAGATACTCTGCTAACAGTCACCTGGGGAGCTTCTGGGCCAAGCAGAAGGGTGATATGGTAAATCTTCAAATGTGGAAAAAGTAGCAAAGCCAGTAAATTGTCCTCCTGCCCAAGAGTGAAAGGACTGACAAAGCTTGAACTGCAGCAAGGGAGATTTTTGATTAGCAAAAAGCAGTGGGATAGTTTGCAGAATCTCCATCCTACCATAGTTAAATGCATTAATAATTCTTTTTAAGAGCAGGACAAGGTGTAAGAGCATTTCAGTTCTATCTGGTCCTGCCATGGCAAGATAGGAAGGATTGGGTGTTCTGTTTCCAGCAAGACAAGAGTTCCAGTACTCTTCCTGTTGGCTGTCCACCTGCACTGTAGCTCCTGATGTGCTCCTGATCCTGCATGTGACCGCACTGAGCCTCATCTAACCCAGCTTGTGACTTGTCCTGAGATGCAGCTGTGGCTGTGCCCCAGCTGGAGTGGCACCAGGTCACCTACTGCCCCTGCCCTGGTCTGACAATTCTCATAAAACACTTTTTTTTTAATTTTATGTTTTAGAACAAAGGGGAAAAAGAAAAAAGGAAAAAACATAATTAAAATCCCTCAACCCTAGTTCTGCTGAGCACCCTGAGGGTCCCCAGCCCTGTGCACCAGCTGGGGTCTGTCTCTGGGCTGCTGCTGGAGTAGGAAAGAAACTGAACTGTTCATACCTATCACCTGCCTTGCTCCACTCTTGGAGATTTGCTTTAATCCAGCAACATCTGCATCCATTTAGCCAGCAGCCCGAAGTTCAGCCTTCTAAATATAGTGTTTTACAGTTTATGCTTTATTCGTCTAAGGTTCACTGAAAATTTTAGATGTTGAACTGAACATGCGTCAATCAAACACAGCAATGCTTGACAGAGAATTCATTTGACTTCATCAGCATTTCCAGGTAACCCGACTTTGTGCTGATGTGTAATTATAGCAGCAGATGGAGGTTTGGATTTGGTCAGTAGTGGCTTTTGATCACTGTAGTTAGTATTCTGTCTAAAATGATCCCGCAGTGAAATAAACACGCTGGTATGACTGTACAGCTCACATCTTGCAGATCTTTTCTCAAGCTGCCTAGTCCTGAGAATTTTACATGTGTTGGCAACATTATCACAGTCTCAAATAATGGAAGTTTTAAGAACACAGATTTGGAAATAGAGCTTTAGCTGGTGCAGTGATCACTGACATTTATCCCCAGGTAAAAGTGGCTTTGGATAAAGTTAAAAATATATAACCAGAGGTATAATCACTCTTTACATTTCCCTGATGACTGGAGAAAGGCAAATGTTGCACCCATCTTCAAGAAAGGCCAAAAAGACCATCTGAGAAGGGTATCACTTCAGTCCCTGGGAAAATCATGGAGGAAGTAATTTCAGAGCATGTTTTTGGGCAGATGCAGAAGATTACTGCGAACAGTCAGCAGGGGGTTACCAAGGGAAAATCACGCCTGACTCACCTGCTTTCTATAACAAAATAACTCTGTAGACAAAGAAACAAACAGCGGATGTTCTTCATCTCAACTTTAGCAAGGCTTTCAACACTGTCTCACATATTCTTGTGCCCAAGTTAGGACGTTAAGCCTAGATGGACAAGGAGGTGGGCAGAGAAAGTGGTTGGATGTTCAGGCTCAGCATCATGGTGAACGGGCTGGACTGTGCCTGGGGTGGGGTATCGCGGGGGTCTGTCCTGGAACCTGGCCTTTCTCAAGGACCTGGAGGCAGCAGCAGGGTGCCCTGTCAGCAGGCTTGTGGGTGACACCGAAGTGGGAGAACCAGGCAGTACTCTTGGGGCAGGGCTGCCATCCCAAGGGACCGAGACAGGCTGGGCAGGAGCCTGATGAAGTGCTGCAAGAAGAGCAGAGCCCTGGGGCAGCTCAGATGCCTCCAGGGCATGGAGCCAGTGGGTCTCTGGCTGTTTGAACACAACCACAGCCTGTGGCTGAGGAGAGCATCGCCTTCCATTCAGCACTCAGTAGACCTCATCTCAATTGACTACTGCGTGTACTTTTGGGTCCCACTGCCCCCCCTGCATTGCCAAACTGGAGCAAGTTCAGCAGAGGGTCAATGTGATAGTCAGGGGCTGGAGCACATGCCTGGAAGGAACGGCTGAGGGAGCAGCTTGTTCAGGCTTTGGGGAGACCAACAGCAGCCAGCCAGTACCCACCAGGGAGTTTCCAGGGAAATCAAGTCAGATTTCTCACAGCAGAGCATAGGCAGGAGGATGAGAGACAAGGGGTAGAAGCTGAAAAGAGAGACAGTCAAGCATTGGAACAGGTTGCCCACAGGCTCTGCAGTCTACACCCTTCAAGGGTTTCAAGACCACAGTGGAAAAATATGGTTCTGAGTAACACAATCATTTTGCAGCCAGAGGTGAAGCGAGCTCCTGCGGTCCTTTTTAACAGGAATGATCCTGTGATCCTACGACACAACGCAAGGACAGCAACAAGTCGCTCAACAGCAGCAGCACCCACTACTCCAAATCCAAAAAGCACGGTTACTGGACAGCTGCCGTTCTCCAGTTCCATTCTTTATAAGACTATGATGAACAAAAAACAAAGCGGCTTTTTGCTTAGACAACACTACTGCTCTGAAGATATTCTGTGCCTCAACAAGCAATAACATGACAGGCTCCAAAGGTACAAAGATCTGTCCGTCAGAACATGACTATGAAAGCATGTTTTTCTCAAGAAGTGATCAGGACCTGGAAAGCTCAGAAGAGGACAGGAAAAGGACAAGAGGAGCATTACAACGTTTGTTCACACACATTAAAATTAAACCAGGTTTCTCAGGAAGAAACCATGTCTGGTGTTCTCACGTCCTCCTCCAGCTGGTACAGAAATGGATACACATACAGAAGAGTTGTTCAACAGCTGTTCCGCATTAATGTACATTGCAGGAAGGTACTAAAAAGTCAAGACACTGTAGCAGCTAATTCCTTAAGTTGTTTATTTATCATTGAAGAAACACACAGCAGCAAGTTCTGTGTTGGCTTCAGGATGACCAGATAGTTAATCGTTGTGATCGCATCCCAAAATTGAAGTCAACACAGCCATCACTACAAATCACTTTTTTTTTGGAAAGGGAAAGAATTCACCCTGAAGACAAAGAATTGGGGGAAAATTCAACAATTTCTCCAAAACCACACATTTTAAATATGACAATATTTATAAATCCTTGAAAGGCATGAATTATCCAGTAACGGAAAAAGCGGTTGTGCTATTGGCAACAGAAAATGCATAGCCATATGCTTACCAAAACACTTAAATTGTAAAAGCTTGAAGTTTTGTGGTCGTACACTGCAGCAGTATACATTACTGGAACAATGACAGCAAAATGGCGTCAGAGGCGGTTATGTATTCAAGTAAATCTACAGAAAATATCCCAGTGTAGCTAATGCTTATAATGTTTATTGTATTTCATTCAAATTTAAACAATTGACTGAATTTAGATTGTGATAAAATACATATTTCAGAAACCGCCTGCCCTCAAAGATACTTAGGTAAGAGAGGGCTTTTATATCTTTTTCTATTTTTTTGGCTAATTATGGGAACTGATCTCTCTCTGCTTTTTCACTAATTCCACTGTGTGATCAGAGGTGTTTCCAAAAGCATGTTCTGTGACAACAATACCCCAATCCAAATTAAGATAAACTAAAAATAAAAAGGTCAGCCTCTTTTGGTGCGAGATAAAAGCACTACTCAAGACAGCTGTTGGGCTTGCTTCTTTTTATTTCAGCAACAAATGACCCATGAAATAAGCATAATTTAAAATTTTAAAAACTGGCATTCAATTTCCAACCTTCTGCTGTGAGTTTTGTGCATGATCAATCTATATGAGTAAGTAATTCAAGCTCATGCTTTCACGTTACCTCAAAACATTTGTTAAAGAATTCCAATTCAGAATGTTTATAAGCACAAATATAAACTGTGGATTCGATCAAATCAAAGCTAAAACATTGGTTAAACTCTGTGATTTTCATTTAACGTCGTACAGTGGTCCACCCTTCTTCATCTGTCTCATTTTTAGTACGGCGAACGGGCTCACGCTCCTTTTCTGATTTCCAGGAACCCTTCTCCTTCTCACCATCTCTTTCTCGATCTTTTGATGCTGGTGGGGGAGCAGAAGCTGGAGAAGCAGCAGGAGCAGGAGCTGATCGCCGAACTGTTTCACGTTCTTCCCCACGTTCTTCTCTCCTATCATCAGCACGCCGCCATGAGCTTGCTACAAATACAGAAAGACAATAAAACCACCTTTGTCATGCTCCACCAGCATCCTGCAAGAGTTTAAACAAATATGCCCAACACCGACAGTCTGATTTATTGGTTCTCAATCTCGACAAGAGGTAATATGATGAAGACAGCCAAATACATAGCTTAATTTTATAGTGAAGTAATGGACAGGAACTGCTCAAGCTTCTTTTCAGATTCAGGATTGCTGTGAGCAATCCAAGCGTCGTCTTTAGAACACAATAAGAATGTTCTATTGAAGTACGCAGTTTATGATGAAAAAATATATTATCAGAATTAAAAGCACAAAAGCATCTCCTCAGAAATGACTGAACCCTGAAAACAGAAAAATCCCAACTTAAGAACACTTGTGGAAAATGTTTAGGTGTTCACTGTCTCAAAAGACAGCAAATTACTCTTCAGTCTACTTAAATCAGAGGTATAAACAGCACTGGATCACACAATTGCACTGGTAAGAGCACTGAAGGACATCTCAGGCTAAATGTATTTGCTGTTACTATTACAGCAAAGAATTACTAAATGTACATAATTAAAACAGGTTAATGTATGTAATTAAAATAGGTTATTCATCAAAATCAATACTATTAATAGTGTGAAACCCACATGGCCCTGTTTGGAAATATTTCCTTCACATTTCAATGGTTTTAAGAAATGAGACAGAAATTACTTTCTGGGACATCTCTCTTGATAATTTAAGTACAAGAATTTCATTCACCCTGAACATAATCCTACTATAAAAACTGCATACTTAAAACATTATCCTTCTACTGCAGATGCAAAATGCTGCTACAATAGAAAAGTGAACGACTGAAAAAAGAGTCAAGGAAAAATTCTCAATTACACTAAACTTCTATTACTTTGCTCATGCAAAATGAGCTTAAGTGGCTGAAAATATAACTTATTCCCATTTTACTACATCTTAGCACTGTCAGAGCAACATGAAGGCCCAATAGTGAATGTAAGCCTGCAGGAACACTAAAATAAACATACGCTCTTACCGGTCAGATCTGAGTGGTGGTCCTCTTCTGGCAGGTGCATCTCTGTCATCAGCACGTCGATCTCTCATGTCACGACCACCTCTGTCCCACTCTTCACGCCGACTTGAATCTCTCCAGCTGGAATTTTCCTCAGCTGGTCCTCTTCTCCAACCAGCGTCATCCCTTTTGCCATTCAAAACATAAAATAAGTGTAAATGCTAAGATTTTATCCTTGCTATGGAAAGAAGCAACAACGAATCACAGCACAGGTATTTTCAGGCCCAGTGGGTCTCTATTTAATATACTAACGTACTTCGAAAACCACCTCTGTTTTTCTGAAGCCTAACACAAAATTCTCTTGATAACAAGTTTAAAAAAATATATTTAAAAGCAGTGAAGCATTTTGGGATTCCTTCTGTAAACAGTTAACATATTATTAAAAATAACAAACCAATAAGCCCCCAAAATGCCACTCTCCATTTACTGCCTTAAAAACATGCTTAATTTCATATAAACCAACCACTATTCCTTTCACTCAGCAATGTCACATTACTTCTTTATCAACAGGGCACATTTTTTTTTTTAATAAGAAACATTCTGGAAGTATTTAAACAGGAAGTCAAACCTGGGACGCCTGAAACGATCATCTCGATCAAAATCTCTCTCTCTGTCAAATTCACGGTCTTTCTCATTTTCATCCCGATCTTTGTCTCTATCCCATTCCCGGTCTCCTGGAGGTCTGGAGTCTCGGGGAGGTCCCCAGCTGTCTTCACGAGCCTTTTCTCGTTCTCTCCATCCCCCTATAAGAAAGAAACACAGTCAAAGGAATTTGTGACTGACCTCTGATCTCTCTGTAGACAAAGAATCCTTTACTTCCCTCACAGAATCTGGTTCTTCAAGTTTTGATCCCTGAGGATTCAAATCAAGATGCTTGTAAAAAATGTGCACACTGAGTGGAAGCCATAGACAAAACACTTTAGAAACTGCTTAACATAAAGTAATATATACCTCATTGACCAGGACTGCCTGTAACAGGTTACCAGAGCTGACTACACCCAGCAGTTTGCAGTCAGAAACCACAAACTCTTCAAGGGTCTTGTGCAAAACAAGTGAGAAAGAAGTCCAGGGAGAAGCTTAGACAGCAGATTCCTTTGTGAAAGTCTACAAGTGAGGAGGTCTTAGGCAAACAAATTTTTAAGAACTTACTGCTTTTTTTAAAGCACTACTTAAAATATGACTGTCGTTTGCCATCTACTTACACAGTGCATCGTGCAATATCATTCAGTTATTTATGAATGGGAGTTCTTTATTACGTAGCCTGCTTTTTCGTTAAATAGGAAAAAGGAGAAAGCTACTGGAGTGAGTGTTGAGATTTAGGATAATTTTTCTATGAGTTTGGATTACAGAATTAGCTATAAAAGTTCATGCGATGCCTGTGAATACATAAATCTGAATAAAAAGAACCAGAAAATCAAAATCCTATCTAACATTTGAATGTCAACAACAGTTCTGAAAAGAATCAGGAAGTTTTTCTAGTCGTCATCAACACAACTTAAGACTAGAAATAAACTACACAGTAGGATACTTCAGATCATAAGGGATCTCGGAAGGTCACCTAGTCCAAACTCCTGCTCAAAGCAGGATTTTCAAGAAAGCTGGACACAAAAGCAAAAAAGGAATGGTAAAACAGGAATATCTTTGTACACATAAAAAAAGCTTATCAAAACCAGACCCACCTGAATGATGTATCAAAATCCTCCTTAGAAGGAAACTAATTTCAGACATACA